ACAATATCATCAAATATACATTTTATGGCAAAATGTTTTTCAGCCTTAAGTTCACCCTCTGGAGATATTTAATCTTCTTATTCTTCACTTCTACAGAGATAATGAATAATTAATATTTGCTGCTGCTAAACCTACCAAAATCTCAAACATTAATCTTTTCCACCCTCCACCCCAAAGGGACTGTTTTGTACTTTGTGCTTCTAGTTTAGAGATTTGCTCTGACCCTGCCACTCTTTCATTCACTCCTCTCCCACCACAGAAGCATCTTCTTAGTCTTTCTTCCTGCACACCCAAGGTTAACAGAGACCACTTTGTTCTTTATGCAGCACATGCTGACAGTGTTTGTAGTGGTGTGTTTGGCCAGATGTTGAGCAGTTTGCCCAAAGGATTCATATTCTCAAAAGAATTTGTGTTTGTTGGATCCAAAATATTAAAAAGTGTTGCTGTATTTTTCATTTCATTCTGCAAAGAAAACTGTGAATTCACTAACAAAGACCATCAAGTCACATGGCAAATTACTTTATTGGGAGGATGAACAAGGCTTGCATTTTTGTAAAATAGAGCTTGAGCATGAGGGGGTGAACCAAGGAATGAGTGGGGATTGATGGTGCATGTAAAAACCTCAAGGAGTGAGACTCACTGTGTGGGCAATGCCTAGATGAGATATCCTAGTTTTATTGTCCCCTATGTGGTTGCTGTAATGAGAGCGAAGGAAGTGAAGAAACACAGAAGGGGAGATTTGAGGGCTGAGGGACTGAGAATTGAGAAATATGAAAGAGGAAAGTGTTTGGCACAGGTCGTTGGCATTTGTTCTGGATCTTTCAACTGTATCACGCAGTAGAAGTCTTCACAATCTGAAATTAATCAATGGAAAACCTTCCTGAACCCGACGCGCACAAATTAATTTTCCAAGAAGAGAACCCTGATCCGAATGAATAGACTTGATCCAAAATGCGGTTGGCCTCAACAGATCTTAATGGAGAGAGAACACTTGCAGCAGCATGACGCTGCTCAGTTAAAGTGGTCATATTATACTCATTTTCAGGTTCAAAATCTTATTTAAAGAGGTGGTATTATGCTTTTTGGCTTTTCCCCTCTCCTTTATTGAGTTATATATCTTTTTTGTGCATGTAACAGGTTTACAAAGTGAAAAAGCCCAAAATCCAGCCCAAAGGGAGTTTGAAAACAGCTCATTTGTAATCCAGCCCTTCACTTCCTTTACTTGTGACATCACAATGAAAACGCGTCATAAAGCTTGCCAAGCGGCTAGCGGGGTCAAGGCCAACCCACTCTACCTCCTGAGCCACAGCCGCCCCGACTGTATATAAGAAATGGACGTAGTCATCGTGACATCACCTGGACTGCCGTTTTGAAGCCTCGAGTTTGGCCGATAGGTTGCTGCCATGTCGAGTTTGTCGAGAACAGGAAGTGCCCGGAAGTGACGATATGGCGAACAAACTAAACAAACTAAACAAACTAAATGTACTCACCAGAGAAAGTGAACAGCCAACTCCTAATAAGCTTTTTCAACGGTGATGGTTCGAGTTGGCTCTAGCCTGATTGACAGGTCGCCATGGTAACGACCTGTGAATCATATATAATCCCGCCCTGAAACATGCTCTGCTTTGTGGTCTATTTTAAAATAAATGGGACCATAATTTACTAAATGAACATCATTTTGTATTGAAGAAGACTTGAAACTAGCAACTGAGACCAAAAACTCATCAGGAAAGTGTTTACTGGGCTAATTATTCAGCTGAGAAGTAGGGTCATTTTCCCATTATTTCTAATAGAGCTGGACAACCAGAAGAGTCGCCCCCTGCTGGATTTTCAATAGAATGCAGGTTTCAGGGACTTCTGCATCGTCTTCATATTGTAGACCGGAATCTTCCTGCTTGGTCTGAGCGGAGGCTCTTTGGCTCGACTCGCCTTTGTTTGGTTTTCCATTGTAGAAACGTTGTACCTGTACCTGCTTCCAGGTATTTTTTTTCGTATCACCTCACCTCCCTCCAGGTTCCAAGCGAGCTGAGGGATACTAAAATGTAACATGAAACACAACAGACTGCTGATTGGTCAGCGAGAATTGTCACTATTCACTGCATCATCATTGCTGCACCAGACAGAGAAAGTTTTATATGAGCAGAGTTGTAATAGTTGGCTAACACGGCTATAGCACTTATAACTATAATGCTAACGTTACACCCGATGTGAAAGCTACTGAGCAAACATGAGTAGTGGTTTATTGTAAGATGTGGAACAAAGATGCTGTGTGGTTGTGGACTTGTGAGTAACTTATACCATCTGCTAGGTTACGGTCGCAGTCTTTGATTTGGATCACACTACCTTGTTTCTTATGACCCACCCTTCTCTGCTTCTGATTGGCTAGTAGTCCTTACCTGGGAACTGCGCATGTGCAACTCCCAACAAAGATTTTGTACAAGTAAGATGCATCACTCTGTAGCTCAAGAGCGGTGTGTACAACACATAGGGTGAAAAGAGGAGCTGCAACAATGAGCATGATACCACCTCTTTAAGGGTTGTACCAGGACAGGTTTACATGGTTTCATTTTCAAAAAACACTATATTTTTGTCATACTGTACATTGCTGTAGCTCCTCTTTTCACCCTGTGTGTTGAACGCTTCCATTTAGCTATAGAGTGATGCATCTCACCTCTACAAGATTCTTGTTGGGAGTTGCATATGCGCAATTGTTAGGTAAGGACTACTAGCCAATCAGAAGCAGAGTAGGACGGGTCCTGAGAAGCTGGTAAACACTGCTTCGGTTCAGCTGTATATCCCCTCACCAGCTTAGCAACATAGATTGGAGCAACAGTTTCAGAGTGGTGAGTTATCAAATGTATCTTTCATCCATAAAGTTTTAACTGAGCTCTGTCTCTCACTGTAATCACAGCAAAGCGGGAAGAACAGGCTGGACTACAAACGAGCTGTTTTCAGACAGTTCAGAGCAGTGTTTTCTGTGGGAGATGGGAACTCCCTTTGGGCTGGACCTTTTTACTTTGCAAACCTATTACATGCACAAAAAGGTATATAACTCAATAAAGGAGAGGGAAAAAGCCAAAAAGCATCTTTAACAAGCAGCCACAATGGGAAAAAGCAGCATTATAATAATAATGTCCAAAAAACAAATATAAAATCATGTAAACTCATTCCAAAACTAATTTAGTTTAATAGGCTTTATGCTTCAAAGACTAATTTATAGAAAGTTCTATCTTTATTTCGGCACCAACATTAAAACATTTTGTAGCCAACTAGGCGATAAATAGACAGAAGAAAATAATCTTGAAACCATCTTAGTACCTGTGAATTGAATTCCAAATTGTCATTGAGTAGCAGGGCTCTTTCACATGGGCTACTGGTTTCCTGAAATATTTTATTCCTGCACTGATGATGAAGTACCATGTGATCAGAGCTGATTCTGATACCCCTTGATACATTTAGTTAATTAGACCCAGGCACGTGATCTTCAACAACAGATGTTGGTGTTCAAACTTTAACTACAGTTTCCCCCTTCATACCTGTTTTTGCTCACTTCCTGCTTTTTTGGATAGACCATTTGTTTTTCAACCTTGAAGAGGAAATTCTCAGTGAATAAATTAAGAAATACAATATTTTACATATTCACTTTCAAGAATACAATTTAACATATTATTAATCTAATTTTTGTTTTACAAGGTGTGCTATTTTGTATTCACTGATGTTTTAATCTTTGGCTCTGATGAGGAAAATCTCCTGCAATAATCCCTAGTTGAAAATGTCTGCTGCTGTACAATATGGAATACAATACAGTCTTCCTGAATGTCACATGTTTGTTCCACCCATTATTTGCTGCAAAAGGATCACGTCATTAAAAATCTATGAAACTCTATTGATTCACTTACAGACAGCTTCATTTCCAAATGCTTTTCAATGATTAAAAAATGTGTGAAGGTAATTGCTTTCTCATTCACACATGTTCATTATTTTCCACATGTTACTGTAATTGTCTGCTGTAATTGATTTTTGAATCCATTTGTCCTCAAGGAGCACTGGAGGAAACTTGCATGGAAATGAAATAGAGCAGCATTAATTGAGAAGCTCTAATTGTCTGATCCTCGTGTTAAGCAGTGAACACATGCTGTTGTGGCTTGTTTCAGCTATTGTCATTTGAATTACAATAATAAATAATAAGGTCCCGGGTGTGGTGCAGTAACAATTAAGCTACTGCAGGTTAGTTTAACACAAAGACTGGAATGAAACTTCATTGCCCACATACAGTACAATCAACAACAGGTTGTCTGGTAATCAGCAGAGACTCCAGGAAGTTAGTGTGCTAGCCAAAGCCCAAACAAGACAAATGAGATATGACTTGTAAATTAGTAAGCTTTAGAAGTGCTGGTAGTCAGATTTTACTTTCTTTGGACAGAGCTAGCTGTTTCCCCGTTTCCAGCCTTACTGCTAAGCTAAGATGACAAACTGCTGCCGGTAGCTTCATATTTATTGTAAAAATATGAGAGTGGTATTTGTCTTGTCATCTTACTCTTGGCGAGAAGGCAAAAAGTGCATTTCAAACTATCCCTTTAAATAAACACATTAAAATTAACAAAATAAGATAAATATTATCAAACTATTTGTTGGGATACATAATCACTTTTTTAATCAAAGTGGTTACAGTGCAGTTTTAATAAAGAACTGGTATGGTGCAAATTTAAGTGTAAGAAATGTAGTATATCTGCTGAACAAGAATCAATAATCCTAATTTCAATGAATTGCTGTGACATGTTTGTGTTATAAACTGCACTTGACAAAAAAGAGGATGTTGTGCAACAATCACATTAATTGAACAAGGTGACATTAATGCACACTTTGGTGAAGTCTGAGCAGCTGTTCAGGTAAATTCAAATAATCTGCAACAGCATCTGATGTTTGATTTTTTTTCTCCACCTGTCCTTCTCCCTTTATATCTTTATTTCTTTATTCTGTTTCCCTCATTTCTCTGACAGGAGATTGTCCTTGTGGTATTCTTTGGTGTGGAATATTTTGTCCGCCTCTGGTCAGCAGGTTGCCGCAGTAAATATGTTGGCATCTGGGGCCGATTCCGCTTTGCCAGGAAGCCAATATCTGTTATAGGTGGGAATACAACCACCATACACATGCACTCAATACACATACACACAAACAGATGTATCACTCTCCACCCACACACAATATTTAAACAATATCTGTGATATATCCTGAGCTTCATCCTAAACGAGATATCTCAGACAAATTCAGCATGAAATTAAAACTGTCACTGCAATATGTTTTTCTGCCTTCAGCTTTTTATTCCTAAAATTGGAACCTCCAGGTGTTCTTTTTTTTTTTTTTTTTAAATATGCAGCAATGAATATTATTTGTAACCCCTCTTACCTCTTTTGATTTATAGAAAAATTTTGTAATGAAAACTAATGATAATTTCTTAATGGAGCACTTTCCATCCACTTTTTAATATGAGCACTTTCTTCTTTGACTTTCTGATACCTCATATGGAGGACAACACCTGCTGTTGTTATGCTGCACCTGTGTATTGAACATCTGCATGCTTATGCCATATTTATACTTCTCTTATCACTACAGATCTCATTGTAGTTGTTGCTTCAGTAATTGTGCTGTCAGTGGGCTCCAAAGGCCAGGTCTTTGCCACCTCTGCTGTAAGGTAAGAGATAATGTGTACAGGTGGAAACTGTGTGACCAAAAGTATTTAGACACTTTGTGTACTTCAACAACAGGTTGTCAGGCAATCAGCAGAATTGGCCAGATGTGAGCCAGGTCTCATTGCCCAACATCAGTTGTCAACCTGAATAATGCTCTTGCAGTAGCAACGGGAGCAAATCCCTGCAATGTTCCAAAATCTTGTGGTAAACTTTCTTAGAAGATGGGTGACTTACAACAGCAGATAATGTTCATGGTTTTGGAATGAGATATCTAACAATCACATATAGGTGTAATGTTTGGGTGTCCACATACATTTTGCCTTATAGTGTGTGTGTAGATACATGCATTTAGTCTGAATACAATGTCAGCATTTAAACACTTTTGTTACTTTCCAGAGGAATTCGCTTCCTGCAGATCCTGCGAATGCTCCATGTGGACCGGCAGGGAGGAACCTGGCGTCTCCTAGGCTCTGTTGTCTTCATCCATCGGCAGGTACACAATAATAGCTTTGTTATTAGTAAGCAGGAGGCTTTCTGTCAGGGGATCTATATCCTGTTCTCATCACGTATTGTTTTTCACTACTACTCCACATGGGAAGCATATAAAAACAAAAAGAATATTCAGCAGAATTAGAAGAAGAGCCACTGTGCAGTGTGTTATGGTCATAAGCTCTTCTGCTAGAGATGACTATAACCCCTCCAGAACATCATTCAGTTGAGACAAAGAGGTGTCCGTGATTATCCCCCATAGCCAGTGTAGTTAAGCTGAGGCTGGTCATCAACAGCCACCTCGGCTGTAAAGTTTCACACAAATGGAGGCAGAGGATAGATGGCATGTGTGTAGGGGCTAGAATGAGACTGACCTTAGGATGGGCCAGGTTATACTTAGTCCTGATTGGGCTTTAAAGGCAACAGAAGCTGAGATGTCTTGTGTAAAATAAGCGTCTATGTGAGAACTTGGTGCTTTCATGTTCTTTTTTTGTTTGGATAACTTTCTTCTCTATAAAGTAATAATATGCCTTGTTAAGGCCCCGCACACCCATTACAGCCCTGCACAAGGAAAATGCAGTGTGCTAATAGTATGATGAGTATGCCATCAACCAGCTGGATGTTAGTGTGTGGTACCTCCAATATTTGTTCCTGTGTGTTTTTAGAACTGTTGGTTAAGTCAACACTAGACCAGAATATATTCTCTTACATAAACACATGAAACTGCAGCCCTTCTGTGTTAACAGCTGGAGTTTTTAAAGTCGATGGAGTTTCATTCACTCCAATCAGTATCCAGTCCTTGTGTTAAAACAGAATTTAAATACACACTGACTAGCATTCTAATGCTTGTGGCTTGTAAACACAATTTGTGTAGTTGTTCCTAGCTGTGCAGTTTTGTGCTGTATGTGTTTGCCAGGTTACAGCAGCAGCAACACATCTACTGAACCTCTGGTTGTTATTTAAGAAAGATAACTAAATGCAATCAAAAGATTTCCAAGAATCATGTACTTATAAGTTGCAAGCAGTGATGTTAGCTGAAGGTGATTCAGTATATTCACTGCGAAAGGTTTGATGGCCGCAAATGTCCCAAATATTCAAAAACATTGTGTAGTCAAATGAACAAATACAGACACAGACGCTGAGTACCAGTGGGACATAAGTGCTATTTGTGGGGTAATAAGGGCTGGGGAGAAACGGAATACCTGTAACAGCGTTACGTAATCTAGATACCAAAAAAAAGTAACTGTATTCCATTACAGTACAGAAAACATTACAGTACAGAAAAAAAAACACATAATCAGATTACAGGTACATTTTCAAAAATTGATATTGCTCAGTGCTATTTGCCTCCATATATGGTTTTAATATACATGGTATGGTATGTGTTTTTACAGAAACACGTACCTCTATGGTATGTGTACATGTTTCTGTAAAAACACAAAGATTGGGAGGGACGTGTCGCAGACATTGATTGGCGTTTACAGGAACCAGCCATGCAGACTCTGTGCAGACTGGTTCCAGCTCTCAGTGAATGAACACGGCAGCTGGACGAGGATGGATCATAGCCTCCGAGACAGACAGAGGCCAGTTTTACCGCTGGGAATACAGTCCGTAGGTGGTTTTCTTGCCAGATTTGGCTGTTGGCAACCCGGGGCCAAGTGAGCTAATAGAGCCGCTAGCAGCACGGCTAACCGACCGAGCTACCCAGCCACAGATACAGGCAGATAGGTTACAGTTTGCAGTTTAGCGAAAAAGGAAAGCTATCTGTCCATCAGGAAACTGAATCACAGAGTTGAGACAGAGCAGCCAGGGGACATCAGAGAGAAAACTAGAAAAATATTTTCTCCATATTTCTAATATTTCTCCATCAATTATAATAATAATAATAATCCTTATTTGTAGAGCACTTTTCAAAAACAAGTTACAAAGTGCTTTAACAAGTGTAAAGACAATAATACCCAAGAGACAATAATACAAAAACAATACAAGATAAAAGCATGAAAACATTGAAAAGACTAAAATACAGATAAAATATAAAAATTAGTATATAAAATTAGTAAAATACAATAAAATAAAGGGGATAAAATAATGTCAAATAAGAGCGGGAAAGGCTCTCCTATAAAAGTATGTTTTAAGAAGGGACTTAAAAGAGTTCACTGACTCAGCTGACCTAATTTCCTCGGGCAGGCTGTTCCAGAGCCTCGGGGCCCTGACAGCAAACGCTCTGTCCCCTTTAGTTTTCAGTCGAGACTCTGGAACAGACAACCGACCTCTGCCCGAGGATCTCAAGGTACGTGCTGGTGTGTATGGGACTAAAAGTTCATAAATATAACAAGGCGAGAGGCCATGAAGAGCTTTAAAAGTAATCAATAGAATTTTAAAGTCAATTCTAAAACATACTGGGAGCCAGTGTAATGAAGCTAAAATAGGAGTAATGTGGTCATATTTCTTTGTTCTGGTTAAAAGCCTGGCAGCTGAGTTCTGGACAGTCTGGAGTCGATCAATAGATTTTTGGGTTAAACAGGTGAAAAGGCTGTTGCAATAATCCAGGCATGATGAGATGATGTAAAATGGTCTCGTTGTCCTTAAAAGTTAACATAGATCGAATTTTAGCTATATTTCTAAGTTGATAAAAACATGATTGAACAAGCTTTGTGGTGTGCTGCTCGAAATTTAAATTACTATCAAACCAAACACCAAGGTTCTTTGCCACAGGCTTAATGTGATTTACTAGGGAACCAGCAGATGGCAGTATTTGATTTGCCATCTGCTGGGACCCGATGACCAGGATTTCTGTATTGTCTGAGTTCAGCTGGAGGAAATTATTTGACATCCATTTTTTAACTTCACAAAGGCAGTTGTTAAGTGAACTCAGCATTCCAGGGTCTGTGGATCTGATGGGCAAGTATATTTGTGTGTCATCAGCATAAATATGAAAAAAAATGCCATGTTTATGGATAATATGTCCAAGGGGAAGCAGATACAAGGAAAACAAAATGGGTCCAATTATGATCCAGTTTCACCAAAATCAGTGAAGAGAGTTGGGTTTTTGTACAGTAAGTGGGGCCCGGTCCCAGAAACACTATGCTTCAGCAACATTATATTGAGAAACGTTTGCATTGGATGCTAAATTAATACAACAAGTGCAGAATGAGTCATCAGCATTTTAAAATACTTTTCCAAATGAAAAACTTTTAAATATCATCAAGAATACCTACAAAACAATGTTTTTTGTCATTGATGGGCCAGGCACTGCCATAGTATGGTGACATAGTGCAAAGCATATCATTTAAAAACATTTAAACATGGATTTTGCAAATGGGAGATTTTGTTATTCTATGTTTCTCTAAAAAAATACACTGAGCAGACAACGTATCATTTATACTGCTCTTGGCACTGAAGTAATCCAAAAGTAACTAACAGTAATCAGATTACATGACTTTTATTTTGTGGTACTTGAATTACATTACTGATTACATTTTTAAACAAGTAATTAGTATTTGTACCGGATTACATTTTTAAAGTAATCCTCCCAACCCTGGGGCTAATGTAAGGATAGGTTACTATTATTTCAAGGAAGGCAAACACAACAATTCCCAGGATCGTTTTTGCAATGATCTGCTGCTGCTGCTCCTCCGTGGTGCTCTGAAAAATCTGGGAGTGACAGTTTGGGGCCGAGACACAAATAAGTATTTCACTCATCAGAAATTCAGTCCGATTTAGTGCAGTGAGGGCTCCAGCACTCTGAGTGGTTAAACACAGTTTAAATCACGTAGTAGGTGAGTGCAAAGAGAACATTTTCTCAGAGAGCTCTTTCACAAAGCAGTAGTCCAATTACAGTTAGACAGGATAAAAGCCAGGCCCAATTAGACCTCCTGAGCAATATAGATATCCTTATTGAATCTGAAATAAGATGCTTCATAGTTATTTAAATACACCCGGAGAAATCAGCTGTCTGTATTTCAAACTAATTTATAATAATGGTTTAGTGCCTATCTGAATTCAATCAACACCCCTTCCAGTGATTAGTGATCATTATTGAACACAGTTTCAGTTTAAACTCAGTTGCACTTGTGATTCTTTTATAGCTGCATATGATACTGAAAATTATGACAGGTTTTATACTTAAGAAGGCAGCTTTGCAGAGCGCGTTAACCCTAACCCCATTCTGATAAGTAGCTAATGGCTTAGGTGAGAGGGTGAATTCACTTTTATTTCATGACTGCCACAAACCACTAGAGATAACAGATTCAGAACAGAAAAATATTTTGATTTCATTGTGAAACATCCTTTGTTAAGGGTAATATCACACAGGTTTCACGTCAGCTTCTTTTACTGAGCTAAAGTAAGCTAACGGTTAGGCCTGTGACTCTCCCAAACAGCAGGAAACTTTGTGATCCATTTCCTAACCCAAGTTTGAGATCATCTTTATTTTGTTTCATTACAGACAGACTGACTGACTCTCTTTAAAAAGTGTTGCATGTGATGAGGTTTACTTAGGTAAGCATAGTGTCTTATTTTGAACCAGTATTTTCACACGTACATGTATAGTGTGTTCAACAATAACTTTTTTTGGACATGTAGTGAATTTCTGTAGGTCTAGGAGGGATAAATACTCCCCCAACAGGAAGTATCCTTCAGATTTGGTTTCGTAATACACTGTATTCAACTGTGTATTGTCTTCCCAGCCAGGCTTCAATAAACAATGCTGTATAAGACATCCTGCATTTTCCTGAGATCTTTTCCTGCAAAGAGTTGCCTCACTCCCAAAAATTTCATATTCATGGCACATTTACATGAATATTCACATCCATATGTCATATTATGAAAAAACAGCCAGGCAGTTAACTGGAAAACTGATATAAATTATACATTGTGGCAATCAGGAGAGATTGCATAAGAAACTATATACAGATTCATGGATATTATATGACATAATCTTATTATGTTCTTTTCTTTGTTGATAATTGAGTTTGAAATATGTCATGCATTTGTGCATGTTTGTTTCAGGAGCTGATCACTACCTTATACATTGGCTTTCTGAGCCTGATCTTCTCCTCGTACTTTGTCTACCTGGCAGAGAAAGATGCAGTCGACAGCAGTGGCTCATCCGAGTTTGGAAACTACGCTGATGCTCTGTGGTGGGGAGTGGTAAGTGTGTATGCACATGTTTTACCATGTGATGGCTGTGAGGGGCTTAGTCAAAAGTCAAATTACTTTTGTTCACAGTTAAACCAGGGCCCCAGTATTTAGATCAGACATGGTCCAGTCATTATTATATATGTCTGATATTTGAAAGATATGATGAGGTTTGATGGACTGTATTTTTATTGTATTTATATTATTTGTATGATGAATATCCAGGGAGGGGCGTCTGTGGCTCAGGGGGCATGGAGCCATCGTCCTTTTAAGGTCGACGCCCCCACGTCTGCATGTCGAAGTGTCCTTTGGCAAGACACTGAACCCCAAATGGTAGCCATACAAATACAGACCATTTAGCATATCAACTGGACTGATATACATTTATTCATTTAGCTGACGCTTTTATCCAAAGCGACTTACAATTGCTATTCATATCAGGTCGCACACCTCTGGAGCAACTAGGGGCTCAGGGACACAACGGTGGATGGGTCACAGTGGGAATCGAACCCAGGTCCCTCACACCAAAGGCATGTGTCTACCCTCCCCTTATAGGTCAGCATAGCATGAAGACTTGAAGCAGGGGGAAACGGCTAGCCTTGCTTTGTGTTATGTTACTGCGTTACAGCAAAAAGCAAAACATTGCTGTAATTGCGTTACTTCTGTAACATGTTACTCCCAACACTGGTGCCATCATTGTGTAAATGTGTAAGAATGAGTTAATTTCTCTTTCTGGTGGGCAGTTGGCACCTTAGCCTCTGCTTGTCATTGTATGATTGGTGTGAATGTGATGTAGTGAAAGCACTTTGAGTGGTCAGAAAGAGTAGAAAGGCGCTATACAAAGACCATTTAGCATATCAAGCTGTAGTTAGGGGACTGTTATAGGTCAGCATAGCATAAAGACTTGAAGAAGAGGGAAATGGCTAGCCTTGCTCTGTCCAAAGGTTACAAACAATCTGCCAGCTCCTCTAAAGCTCACCTTTTAAAACATTTTATTTTGTTTGTTTAATCCATACAAAACTGTAGTGTAATATGAGCAACTTGGGCTTTGATGTTTTAATTGTGACTGATTATTTCTTGACTGGGAGAACGGGACAGTCTGGCTAGCTGTTTCTCCCTGCTTCCAGTGTTGTAAGTTAAGATAACCACCTGGTGGCTGTAGCTTAATAATAACAGACAGAGCTGATAGTGCAATTAGTTTAATTACCAATTAATCAAGTCAACTTTAGTGATTACATTCCTGTAATTCATCAATGAGAAGCCCTCAACCTGTACTGACTCACATTTTTATCAAACTCCATAGAACTATTTGACAGGATTACTAACATTAATATTAACATTAATTGTATTATGTTTCAGTGACTCATCTTCTAAATGTTTCAGTTACTTTCCCAAAAAACACTGACTTGTTTTTAACAGTATTTGGCAAGTGAAAGGTCAAATATAGACTCTGTTGTTACATACTACTGTTGTTACAGAAGGTGTTGTGTGAAAACCCTTGGGCACATCCAGTGGGCCGCTAATACAAGCAGCAAAACAAGTAGTGTAGAGAATATGTGATGAAAATGTATTTTCAGACAATAAGTCACCACCCACTCTGCTTCTTGGAAACCTCAGGGACTCTGATATTAAGAAACGTACACACACATACACATCTCATCATAACAACATCTCTCATATAAATAAAGGTTTACTTATAATATTTACACGTTATTTACTATGAGCTTTGTCAGGTTTGAGTCTATTTTCACAAACTCTCAGTGCATAAAGATGTGTGAGTTAGAGAGGTAAAAAGATCAAAGTTGTGGTTGGAGGGTCAGAGAAAACAAAGGCCTCATGCCCTGCAGTAGACACTGACCAGGAAAATTACACAGCATTTTAACAATTTCCTTAGCTGTGCTATTAGTGTTTTTGTTTAGTTAAAAAGTCCTTTCAGTGCTTTTGATTAGCCACGTGGCTCTAGGTCAGATTCATTTTAATCCTAACTAAAATAACTCTTCAATGGATTGTCATGAAATTTTGTACATACATGTTCACAAAAGGATGAAACTACTTGGTGATCTCCTGATTTTCCCCCTAGTGTCACCATGATGTTCACATTTTTGGTTTGGAGCAAAATGTCTCTAATGTCAGTTACTCGATGGATTACTGTACAATTTGCCATAGACATTCATGCTTCACTCAGGGGTTAAATTTTTCCAATATTTTGTTTTTGGATTATATGCAAAATTATTTAATTAATTAAAGCTTCAATTGTAGCATTCTAACACTAAACTTAGATGGTGAAAATGTCAAACATTACACCTGCTAAACACCAGCATGTTAATATTGTCATTTAAGTTATGTTAGCATGCGAGTTAGCAAGCTTCAGATCTGTATATGACTGAAAATAGTCCCAAGTCTACAGCTCTGTGACAAAGCATTGTTAAAATGTTGGAAATGTGGATACTTTTTGCTGTTGGATATATTTTACAGAATGCAACTCTTGCAATGAAGCTTCTTGTAAAAATGTTCTTTTTTAAAGGTGACAGTCACTACCATTGGATATGGAGACAAAGTGCCACAAACCTGGATTGGAAAGACCATTGCATCCTGTTTCTCAGTCTTTGCCATTTCATTCTTTGCTCTGCCTGCGGTAAGTGGAAACTGAAATAGCTGAAACAAGCTGTCTTTCCGGCTGAGATTCTTCTGTTCACATGGAATTGCTACCATTCAAAACAACAATCCCTGATAGATGGTGGTCTTAAAAACCACCAGAAAAATGAGTACAGATGAATTCCAACTGAACTAAAGTTGAAATCAGTTTGGTCTTTTAAATAGGTATTAAAAATTTGTCATTAAAAGTTTGTAGTTGATTCATGTGTAAACAAACAAACAAAAAAAAAAGTAATTTAACAACGCTGGCTCTGACATGTTTTACCAGCCACTGCAAATATTCAAAGTGATTATAGTTAAGTGCTGTGAGGACCTTGGCAAGCCATACAATAACTTTACAGTGTACTATAATTCAAGGGTGCAGAATTTAGTAGGGACATGTCCCTACCAATATTCAGTGACTACTGAATAAATTTGTTTAAAATATTTAAATACAACTAATGTTGTCCTTCAGTGTCTAGTCAATGCATTTCATACATAAACAGTTAAAGGGGCCATATGTAGTTTTTCTTGGGCTATAGCAGTGAGGTTTGAGATTGCAACCACTACCTTCCCAGCGTGTGCTTGTGCACATGCTCGAACTAATGAGCCAAAACAGATACAGACACCGGAAACAGCATCACACAACATGCTGGAAACTCCGGTAAACTCTCACTGCAACATTACAGTAATATTTTTATCAGCTTGACATTGAACTAATCCATGCTCGTTACATTGACTGCATACTCTGAGTTTACAACCCGTTCACAAATCGGCAATAACAAAAAAAAAAATTAAAAAAATATAATAAGTAGTGGTGTCCCCAGCTAAGAATCAAATCAGAATTGTCATGTTTTCCCATTGGGGGGTGTGCTCAACTTCGTTTCCCTGCGTGGGGCGAAGCTAAACAACACGACAGGGACGGGTCTGCTGTGGTTGGTCACAGGCTGGTCAACTGTGGCCTCCTCACTGCTTGGGGCCTCTGGTAACTCCACTAAGTAGCTGTGACTCTGCACCATGCAACTCCCCAGACTGTGACCCAGCCATGTGCCACACTATCTGGGATATCAGCAGCAACCTCAGCACACCCACACACTGCAAACAGGAGACAAGCAGAAACCCTTTACACAACAGCAATTTACAAACATTCCACATAACACATACACCCAGAGAAGAAGACAATCATAAGTCTGTACCTGCACACAGGAGACAAGCAGAAACTCTGAGCTTAGTGTGTGGCTGGTTAAATGACTGCAGATTGGAGGTCATGCCCAAGAACACCTGTCTGGCATCAGCCCATCCCCATGCAATCAGCCCATGTGAAAACCACACCCACCAAACGCTCACCCATCACACTATCACTGCACTCAAAATCAGGCCGATACAGGTCTACCCCATTGCACCTACACTGTACATTTACAGCTAAACTGGGGCTTGTTGTTGATCCATATCGCTCTGCTCTGCTTGTCTGCCATTCACCCATCTTGCATGCCTGCCAGCTCACAGAGAATTGCATGCACGTCGCAGTTCCACGGGTCTATTCCAAGGACTGTTTAAAAACAATATATTAGTTGTGTGGTTCATCAGTGGTGATAAATGATTCTAACGTCTGGTGCACAACAACTCTGCACAACACCTGTCTCTCTGCTTCTTCAGCCACACACACACTACGCCACACATGACGCCCACTTACTTAAGGTTACAATTGTGGATTTATTCACACACTTTAAAAAGATTTAATAAATCATAATAGGCTGTATATTAACTTATAGGGAGAAAACCAGTAGTAGTGCACGTTATTCGTTAATTTTTGGTTAACTTTGTGTTTATTTCTAGCTTTTGGATCATTGCCGCCTTTAAGTGTGTCGTAAAAACTGAATTAATGAGCAGTAACTCTGCTGTGCTGTTGTTCACAGGGAATCTTAGGCTCAGGCTTTGCCCTGAAGGTGCAGCAGAAGCAAAGACAGAAACACTTCAACAGACAGATCCCTGCAGCTGCCTGTCTCATTCAGGTATTTGCCCAAAAAATACTGAAACAGAACCACAATACAGCTGAGGCTGTGAACTGTCTCTAATCCCTATCTTATTATTGAGACTCTCCTTTCATGTAGCCTTTACTTTCATTCTTGCATGGCAGGCATGTTGGCATGAAATTGTCCTGTCCAACCAATATGTTGCTATTTTCATGCCCCTCCAGACATCATGGAGATGTTTTGCGGTGGATAACTTTGATTCTGCCACATTCAAGATGTTTTTGAGAAAGAGATCCAACATCACCGCCTCCTCTCTGTCTACCCCCAAACCCAAGAAATCGGTTAGTAATCATTTTATACATTTCACTGTAACTGCTATTCATACTCAGTTTCCAGTTTATTGCACCAAGGCAAAACTAATGCAGTATGAAGCAACAGCCCTGCAATACTGTTAAACCTTCATGAAGAATGTAATGTTCACTTGTTTTTTTTTTTAGAAACTCTTTTAGAGAGGTGTTGATTAACTTTATATACAACTGGAAATCCATTATTGACTGTCCAGTATACAATCTTATATTGCTTTCATAACGGTGTCACAATTTATTGTTGTGGTGATTTGAAGGATTGAAACTACTCTGGGTGATAAAATTTTAAAATTAAGGTTTAAAAAAAAATGACCATCATCATTATTGTGATACTGTAGGTGAATTTGTTGGTGAGGGAAAAAATGAAAAAATAAAATAAATTAAGACAGAACAGAAAAAAGTTATACAGCCAAGAAAACAGCCAGCAGCAGCTAAATATTAATATTGATTATTCAGTATTACTGCTAGTTGGGTATCAGACCATGCCCACACTAATGCATAAATTTTAAAATGTTGTGTCAAATGTGTTTCCCTTAGGGGCCTCACCTTAGAGTTGTGGAATCTCACAATAACAGCAATATGAAATTACAATAGTCATCTTACTGACTGACACTGTAACAGTAATTCCTGTGCAGCTGCACTTAGACCCTCAATGAAATCCCTACTCAGTCTTCATACGTTAATATACCAACTATGTCAATGACATATAAATAAAGTCAGCGGCCGACCACACACAGTCATGAAGAGAAGAAATGTTTTGGCCATATTTATAAAGGTCTGATAAGTTGAAAAGTTTCTTTATGTCTTCATTTTTGAAAACCACAACCATCTTTAAATCTTTCCACGATGAAAACAACATGGTTTTGCTGTTGTGTCACTTGGGTGTCAAACAAACACCTATACTGCTCCACAGGAACACTTTGTTGAGATGAGATGTTTGCATTTCTTGGGCAGGTGAAAATAAGGAGGATATTGAAAAGCACTGACAAGGACAACGGTCCAACTTCTCCCACAATTCCCAGCATCACTTACGACACTGTTTTTGACGGTGGGAGGGAGCTGAGTTCAGATGTTTACAGCACTGTGGGCACAGGTACTAAAAATGACACAAACTGTACAGTAGGCAAATCTCTGATGCACTAGCTTGGGTTCCAGTTCACTTTTATCAGTGTGAAAAACATTGCTTACAACATAACAGACTTCCGAATACATTTACACTGTTGAAAGGATGTTACAGTTAACAGGGCTCATACATTTCACCATATCTAAAGAGAATTTTTCAGTGTGTGGAAGATGTTGAACCAGTTAATAATGAGTTTCTAAAGTCATGCGCATAGTTTCATTAAAATCAGAATAAATACGCACGATGTAATTTAAGATGCACATAAGCATAGAAAAAATTAATAATGCCACACTGCCTGAAAACCACACATTCAGCGATGAAATGTTTGATTGGAATTTCAGTTGTAGGGTTGTAGCCACAGGATAGGAAAATAACAAAGTCCAAACATTAAAGACGGATGAGCACATTGCAGCAATAAAACGTGAGGTTGCACTGACGATCGTGAACTCTACTAGTGCACTGCTGAACTTGCAAAGCTCCACACAACATACATTACTGCTGGATCTATAGTGGAGAACTGAGAGTGATATTCTGTAAAGAAGCAATTCCAACCATTTACAGTGCTTTATCATTCCAGTATTATTTAAGGTAGATTGTGTGTTGTCACTCCACATTCCTCAATCAACTCATTTAAATCTTTTTTAGAAAAGCCGAAATAGTGATAGTGAAGTATTGGATGAAGGAAAATAAAACAAATTTAACAGAATCTCAGTTGACTTTGTCTTTGCCTTCAGTGGTTTAACAGTTCTGCAGAATGCACACAGAGAGTGAAAAGCAGGACTCAGAGGCGGAGCAGTAGAAAGCAATCAATCGTCTACTTGGTTAGAAGTTCAAGGCAGAGTTCGGAAACAGGTAATCAGTCAGCAAACAAGGCAGGCAAGGGACAGGCAGGCGGAACAGGCAGGCAAGAAAAACAAATGAAGGCTGGAAAGCTAAGACTGGGTAATACATTAGTCAATCTGGCAAAACACTGGGGAGAGAGGCCTGATATATATGTAGGGGAGATAATGAGGGAATGGGGAACAGGTCGGCTGGTGAGTAAGGGGATAGGAGGCCGGTACTACCAAGGGAGTTTAACCTACTCAGATTTAACTTGGGGTTATCAAGGAAGTCAGGGTTGACAAACTCTGACTTTCCTACATTATTGTGAAATGGTACTAAGACGGTGTATAAGATGTTGGTTAGTTGATTTGGTATCAACTTAACTGGAGTTTGTGTGTGTTTTCTTAAAAGGGCCGTGTTCTGCAATCAATCAATCAAACTTTATTTATATAGCACTTGTTGTACGAATGCACGATAATAATGCCACAGTATGAGGAATGTAAATTTGTAATTATCTTCACAGTGTGATTGATGTAATTCTCTATTTTGTATTTTATGGACTATTTCATGTGTAATATGATTAAGATGTAAAGGTACAACTGCGTATTAGGTCCATTGTAATAAAAAATGTATGGAGCCAGGGCAGGGAGAGGGCTAATAAACAAAGAAAAAACTCAGAACTTAAAGTGGTAAATTTTATGGGGGAAAAAAAAGTAAAAAATTTTATTTTTTGACCTTATAATATATAATTATGAGAAACTTTGTTGTTTTTTTCCCCCATGAATTATGCCTGCAGTGGAAAATTATATTATATTTATCAATCTGATTTAGCAATGAGGAAATAGTTTTAGCCCACAATCACCATATAATCATATGCATGGTTTAGATTTTTGGTGACTTTAATCTCAGGGAATTTCCAAGTTATATTGTTGTAAAATTAGAACTTTCATCTTGGAATATTTTCTTGGATTATTAACCCCCACCCTGGTTCTTTATTTTTTGGACACGTAAAATAGTCAGTCATTTAGGATAATTCAGCTGGACAGATGGGCTACATCTCAGAAATGAGCCTGTTATTGAATTAAGAGCTCCTCCCTAAATTACAGAGGCTGCAGGGCTACCTGTATGAAAGTCATGCTGTTGTGTTAGGAATAACTTCATTTCAGCTGCAACATCAGAGGAACAAGTCAGGATGAAATCTAAAATATTCTCTGAAGTGGTATGTATCTATAGTTCTTATTAACACTGAGTACAAATGTGGTGTGTAGGCTACACCTACATATAATAGCCTATTCCTGTATATGGGGTAACCTCAAGTTAACCTTGAAAAAACCTGCTTGGAGCACTTTAGAGATGCAACGTAAATTGCTTTGACAGCATAACTCGGGTAAATCTTATCCACCTTTCATAGTGCAAGTTAATTAGGAAGTTACACCTGAAGTTACCTGGATAAGCCAGAAACCTCACTTGGAAGTACAGACCACAGGTGACCGGGAATGCAACACACTGAGGGCAACTACAGGCAGGTGGGGAATGGCAGGTATCTGAAATGACAGGAGGAGGTTAATAATAAAAATAAGCAAAATGTGATGTCTCCTATTGACTTTAGTAATTAGACTTTTTCTCCAGCGCCATAATCAGGTGTACATTATAATTTGTCCAATACTTTGGTTAATGACCAAATTCTTTACATACAAAACTGATGACATTCTCGTCACCATAAGCTGTTGTTTGTGTTAAGTGCTAATTAGTAAATGTTAGGACTCTAAAGCACTAAACCAAGAACATAGACAGCGTGCTGACGTTAGGATTTAGTACAATTACTTACATTTAGTAAGTACAGCCTCACAGAGATGCTAGCCTGGCTGCAGACTCTTAGTCTTGTTACTGTATAAATCATTTTTACACTTTTTACAAAACTATTTGTCCGTGTAATCCCTACCTTTTAAAAATATTTATAAGAACAAAATGAATGATCATCATTATTATCATGAGTGCTGAGTGGAGGGCATTAATGGATTTTCTATTCTGAGAAACAAAATGACATGCTGCGGACAGTCTGTTTACTTTCAAAAGGAGATAAATATGAATACTTTTAGCAGGTCCATAATATGTAAACATCTAATTGGATCATAGTCTTTGTTGCATAGTTATATAACCTTTTTCTTTTACACCAGCTGGTAACCTGAAGATATGCCCACATGCTTGACTGCAGTGCAACATGTTACTGTGCAAATGGTTTTGCTTTGCACTCAGCTCTCAGTGCAACAGTAGAATTGAATTTGCCCAGTTATTTAGATGTATGCATGTCTGTTCGTTTCGTGTTCAATCAATATAAGTGTATTTGATTTGAAGGTAGATTGCTACTACACATCTAACATCTACAGCATGCTGCTTTTAACTATGAATCATTTAACTAATTTGCCACATTTGCATCTGTTGTGCAGTTGTATTGACTTGATGCACATTGACTGGCTGAAGACAAGTGCTCAGCAGCTTACAGAGTTGCCAGCTGACATTATCCTGATTGGATTTTCAGAAAACATAACCTAATTTCAGTCCTAAATTAAGTTTATACTTTACATTGTTTAGATTATTGAGATTTTGACTGATAGTTAATAAACAGATTGTTAGACTACATAACATGGATACAGTCCGCGTTTATACTAATTAGGGTAGGATAAATGACAGAAACACCGCTCTATACATATACTATATGTCTCTTGGGCTTCTGCCCTGTTTAATTGTTCTCTCTATATCTGCTTCTTCCATGCAATTTAACTGCCTATTTCCTTCCTTGTGTCTTTCCTCTCTTGATGTTTGTCTGTGGTTAAGCAGGATCCCACACTTTGGGAGGATGTGGTGAGCTGCTGTTAGTGTCCATGTCCTGCACATGCCCTTAGTACATTCAGTGTCCATTTTAACAGCCTCCTTTTTATCTTCTGTTATTTTAACAGCATGTTTTAATCGGTGCATGGTCCCGTTAAAATATGTTTATTTGTTTGCTTGATTATTGTCAGTGATGAATGTAAAATTGCATTCTGGGCAGCATTGTTTTTGACTAACATCATTGTAGTTGTCCCTTTTTTGCCCTGTGGTCAACTCTTCTCTTCATGTGTGCTTCAGATCACCAGCAGTCCTGGACGTCTTTGTCTTCCCTTCAGTTCAGCTCACCGCCTCCAGGTAACAGCATGTGTTAATATGAGTGTTTGCCTGTTGCTGTGTCTCTCCAGAAGTGAATAGCTGCATCACATGGGTCAGTTGTATTGTTGATATCTCAAGTGGTGGGACTAGTAAAACTGAAGTGTTGAATGTGTGAAGTGTTAAATGGATCTGTAATGCAATGTTTAAGTTGGTATATTTTAAAAATAAGTTTAATATCAGTTTTACTCAACATTTTTTACTTGATTTTAAAGCTGTTTTTTTAAAATAACAAATCATTTGTATATCCATATGTGTGGTGGAGTATCAAACAAGAATACCAAGTGGGTAAATCTGTTTTCTGTACTCTGTACTTGTCATGGCTTGTTGTGTCACATCTGTCCTTGACAGCACCAGTTAAGTTCCATTCAAAGTCCAATTAAAGTAGACGCATTTCACACATCAAAATCAAGCACAAGACCAGGTGTATAACACTTCTTTATCTGGTGCAGTTTTAAACACTGCATTTGAGAATCACACAATATATATGTTTGTCCAAATAAAGCTGAACTTCACCCTTTCCCAGTATTAGCCGAATGTGACTGTACACTCAAACTTTTTTTCCCAAATGACAGCTCTGTCATAATCTAAAACAGGATCACTAGTCACACAAGGCCATAAAGTTCCCCCAACAAAGACACCTTCCCAAAAGCATTAGCGACTTTGAGAAGCTGCATTAGCATTGTTTTATTCTTTATTTCAGCTATTTGCTGTGACTGTTACTTTTAGCATAGCAAGCTAATGCAATATATGGGCTAATTTTTTTCTCTTTTTCTTTTGGAAACTGTATGTTCTGGATGCACAGATACATTGACAAATAAAGTCTAAAGTGTGTGTTTGTGTGTGTGTCTGTGTGTGAACGTGCAGTGAAAAGAAGCCCTGGCCTTTTGGACATCCATTCCCCCGGCTCCCTCCAGAGGAACTGCAGCTTTGCAGATGACCTGGAACTGGATCCAGAGCGAGACAATGAACTGGCTCCTGCCACCTCAGTGTCACAGTGAGTTCACCAACATTGCGCTGCAATTCCATTCCATTAATGCTGTTTTTATGTGTAAGTAGGTTTAATGAGCATGTTAGAGAATGTTTGCATATATTTTTGCTACTTGTAATTAACCTTTGTAATATGCTAAGCCCCAGAGCGTCCCTATCTCTGCTGTGTAAAAATTCTATATTAGGAAAAAGCATTTGTGCTTGCTGAGACACTTGCACAGTAAGAGACTGAGACTGATATGGGAAATGAGTGTTAAGTAACTGCAGTGTAATGTATGTGCACAGTAAGTAAAACAAATAGAGCGACAGTTTTGGCCCATGGGATTTCCTTTCTAAACAGTGGGGTAATGATGCAGAGTGGGAAATGCATGCAGCAGCATCACTCTGTGCTCTGCTGACTCCAAAATATATAACCAGCTGTTCTCATAGAGCAATGCCACATGAAATCTATGCTAAATGCAAAATTGAGCCATTATGAGATAAATCTTCTTGTTTTATCCATGACAAGAGATCATCTAGTTAAACATGCCTTTTTTCTTTACCTGGTTAGTCAAAGTTCTGTGGAAAGTCTTCTATTTTAAGCTGAATTACAGATTGAATTCCAAATCTTCCATATTTTCTAGAGCAGTGGTTGTCAAAGTGGGGTCCAGGGACCCCCAGGGTCCTTGAGGGAGTTCCAGGGGATCCCCAGCAATAATGGGAATAATTTATTTTCACTTTCGATCCATAAGTAAGTAACACAGTGACTATTTTGGTCATGCGTTTCATGTAGCTTTTTATAGCTTGACAATTTTATACTTTATAAATTTTTGTTTGTAGTGTGCACCAAGACGCCAAACAAAATTCCTTGTATGTGTAAACCAACTTGGCAATAAAGCTGAGTCTAATTCTAAAAGCAACATTTCTATCAATTGGGGGACACTGAGACAAACTCTTATCAATCAGTGATCCGTGGCCTAATTTGTGTCAGTTTTGAGGTCCTTGTTGTGAAAAAGTTTGAGAACCACTGTTCCACAGCAGTGGAGAAAGTTCTGTTCAGTTATAAATCCAAAATGCAGCATAGATTCTTGATGAGGAATAGATCACAGAAGTCATATTTCTGCTGCTGCCTTGGTATTGACATCACAGTTCAGTTTGTTTTGGTAAATTGAAGATGATGGTATTGTGAGATTTAACAAAGCTGCCATATTTTTTGTCACAAACAAAAAGTACACCCCTGGTAACACTGCACACATATCCTTTAAAGTTAAACTCAACTTTGATGGCAATAAAAAATGGTACAGATAGGACACCCACCAAGTTGAATCACTGTTAGAAATTAGGGCTGTGCCTTCTCAGGAATGTACACTTAGCAGCAGAACACTTAGCCCATGAGATGTAACATTGCATAAGATTGGGGCCATGAAAAGACAAGAATATATTTTAAAGAGGTGGTATTATGCTCATTTTAAGGTTCAAAATCTTCATTAGTAGTTGTACCTGAACAGGTTTACATGGTTTAATTTTCATGGTGTAACATTAGCATTATAGATATAACTTTAGTTGTGTTAGCCAACGTTTACAACAACTCCGCACTTGTACAGTCTGTGAAGTTACATTGCCGTGTTTATTTTAAATATAATTCACAACCAATAAAGCATACTTACAGGTTGTGATTGTGAATTTCCAGGCCCAAACAGAGTCGGAGTTGCGTCGTCTTTTAGGACTAAACGTTGAACTGTTGTCGGTGTTCTGACGATCTATGCTGCCTTGCTGAAAAATGCTACCATTGCACAAATCGATAGACTCGACCCTACTCGGCCCTGCTCCGTTTTCCATTGCAGATAGTACCCAGAGATAGTACGTAGCTTGTCGTCATAGCGACGCCACACGTAATGTTCAATGCGACACACACACCAGTGATCCACACAGCTTTCTCTTTTTTAAGTTAAAACGTTTCAACATTCCTCAGAATGTAAAGACAGATAAGCGGTATGAAAACCTTCCAGCTGTGTTTTCCTCTGCTGTTGTTGCTGCAGCGGTCTGTGTGACGGCGGGAGATGAGGGCTCTGTGAGCGGGCGGCTGGCCGGCCTCACACGCTCCTCCCGCGGGTCGGCACAGGCTTCCCCCGCAGCCACTTGCGGAGCTCCTCAACTCCGAAAATATTCAAGCACATTTTTGTTCCGCCATCACTTCTCCTAAAACTGTCAATATTCGAAATCTACACACTCACCTCAAAACTTCTCAGAAGTGGATTTAGTGATAAAATTCCATACGAAAACTGAAAAATATAAAACTTTCTGTTGCTGGCCTCTGTCTGGTGCACGCAACGATGGTGCAGTGAAGAGTGAATATTCTCCCTGACCAGTCAGCAGTCTGTCGTATTTTCACATTACATTTTAGTATCCCTCAGCTCGCTTGGAACCTCGACGGAGGTGAGGTGATACGAAAAAAAAGTACCTGGAAGCAGGTACAGGTACAACATTTCTACAATGGAAAACCAAACAAAGGCGAGTCGAGCCAAGTCGAGCTGGGACTGTGCAGTGGAAAAGGGGCTTAACTAAAATCAAAGGGCCTCCGCTAAGACTAGCTTGGTTTGAGGGCGTGCCTGACCCCACTAGCCGCTTGGCAAGCTTTATGACACGTTTTCATTGTGACGTCACTGTGAAGGAAGGGAAACGGCTGGACTACAAACGAGCTGTTTTCAAGCGATTGAGAGCGGGGCTTTCTGTGGGAGATGGGAACTCCCTTTGGGCTGGACTTTTGGCTTTTTCACTTTGCAAACCTATTACATGCACAAAAAAGAGATATAACTCAATAAAGGAGAGGGAAAAAGCCAAAAAGCATAATACCAGCTCTTTAATAGGCCTACTATTTAGGGAAAAAAATGTATTAATGAAATAGCTGATAGTGGGGTCTGGGGGTCCTCCCACAGAAGATTTTGAGCATTAAACACTTAATTTCTTGCTTTCTGTAGACATTTTCTGGAGACATTTTCTGCAACAGGGAAGCACAAAATTCAGGTGGCAGGTGACAATTCAAGCAAGAGATGTGATTGGGCCGGCCCAGTGTCAGTATAGAAAATTAACCAATGGGCCACTGTCCTTTACGGGCCAGTTGTTGGCCCATTTTTTAAAAACAGTTATGACAGTTATAAATACATAATTTACGTTACAGCAGCCCCGAAGGTGCGTCGGCCCACCAGGCAGTCCTGCTTAACACTTAACTGATTGTTTGGCTATCATTTAAAACACGTACAAAATATGTGTTTTAAATGATAGAGAGTGTAGAGAGATTGTTGTGTTATGAAAAACTGAATAGGACATTCAACCTCTTGTCCAACACAGTAATACTTATTTCATGCTTGAATGTTGGTGGGTCTGTTCATCAGCTTTTGGGTTTGATAATGAAAAGCTTAAGGAATAGAGCAACATTTTGGGAAATACGCCTACTTGCTTTCTTGCTGAGAGTAATTCTTTTATCTGTTCACTGAATATAGGTTCATTTTAGCATAAACTGGGATTAATGACTTATTGGAGTGTTGTCATCATCATGAGTTGGCATTCAACCAGCAAAGACTCAAGGAAGAAATTGTCCTGTACATAACCCCCATGAAATCGCAAATTGTTGTTTTTACACTCTGTTTTTGTACAGATTCAACAAATTAGATATAACGTGTTAATTAGTGAGCTTTAGAGGTGCTCGTATCTGGGATTAGCTTTGGATAGAGCCAAGCTCCTGTTCCCCCCTGTTTTTAGTCCTTGTGCTAAGATACACTAATGGTCTCCCAGCCTCAGTTTCATATTGACTATCTCATCTACCGCTCACAAGAAAGTGAATAAGCTTGATTCCCAAAATGTCAAACTATTTCCTTTAGGATTAAAACCTTAAGATATCTTTTCTTATCTTAAGATATACAAATGTTTGTTAATGTTAGGATAAAGATGAACACTTTCACGATTCAAACAGCACATTCAGCAGAATTTAAAAATTCTCATTAGAGTTGAAAGAAATTGTGTCGGCCTATTTGCCTCACTGTCTGTTTCTGGTTATATCACCACCATTTGTGGTGGAAAATGGATTTCTATAATAGGTCACAGAGAGCGCAGTACTTATATCCCATTATGTAGTGCTAATTTGACATAATGTTACAAAAGCTGCATTTAAAAATCAGCCCATATCATGGCCTGTGAAAAGTCCATTATGATACACACTGACCTTGTTCCTATAGTCTTTCACGTAACTGGACTTACAAAGAGCTCAGTACTCTTCCCCCACAGTCTCATTCACTGCTTTTCCAGGGTAATGAACCCTGATGAGGTTCCTTAATAATTCCCACAACATTGTAATGGAGGCTAAATGCACTACAATCACTCTGGGCTTTGTATTAATAATTTTCACACAGACACACACAGATCCCAAAAATCACCCTTCCTTTCTTCTTACTGCACCTTGATCACATTCAAAGGAAGACAAGTCATAAGGGAGAGGCTTTTGATGTAGACTGAGTAGTAACCATGAAACTGTGCTGCACTGAATATTTTCCCCTAAATTAATTTTTTGGGTTTGAGTTTGGGTCTGAAGGCCATGTCAACCATAGTTTCATAGTGATACATGTTTCATACAAGAAAATAAAAACCGGGGTTAAAGTAGGGCTAAAGCAAAGTTCTGTTGCGTTTTAAGAAGACTAGACTAGACTAGATGTTTACATGGATTACTCTCAGCAAGCAAGTTCAATAGCAATTCCCACAGCACTCTCAAGTCTGTTACAAATTTTGAAATTAACATGAACACATTCATATGAAACGCTCTCACACAGATTGACAGAGTCACACCGAAAAGCCATCCGGGTGATCCAGAGAATGCGTTATTTTGTGGCCAAGAGAAATTTTCAGGTAAGTAATACACCTTTTTATAGCAAATAACTTTTCTACTAAAATGTTGGGGGAAAAAAAGATTTTCAAATGCTCGCCTAAAATTGACCTATCTGTGCATTTTGAGGTGACTTAATACAATTTTGTTTCACTCACAGGCACTTTTTCAATGTTAAGATTTCAGTAATCCAACTAACCTGAAATTGATTTGTTTATTAAGTAAGTACACAATATGTACATTTGTTATTGGCGTATATGCTCTCACTTCACACCAGCAGAGATTGGGGAGTGACAATAATTAACTTTGCCCCAGGGAAACGTAGATTCAGACCTAAGGGTGGATACAGGTTGGGCTTATGAACAGTAGGAACAGCAGGTGTTTCTAATGGTGTTACAGCAAAGGTTGCGAATGAAAAGTTCAGCGGAAGCATAACAAAAAAAAAAAGTGGGCAGAGCTTTCACCACTGAAATTGATTGCATTATTGCAGAAGTGGTCTAATTAAACCTTCCTTTGTGGTTTGTTCCATTTCCATCTGTCTACTAACATAGAATTGATATATTATTAAGTGAATAGAAAGTAACGCGTGTACAGTAGTAATATTTGGAACCTCACCACTCCTGCAAACACACATCAAGCTCAGCGGGAAATATTAGGGAGTGACAAAACCAAAGCCAACATGAAGGAAAACTTCACAAACGTAGAATTCTGTAACAACATTATTTTCCAAAACAAAGCACAAATATTGTAGACAGAAAAGTGGAGGTTTTATGCCTAATAAGAAGTGTACGATGAAAATATTTTTATGGAAATATTTTTTTCCATTGCAGCAAGCTCGTAAACCGTATGATGTGCGAGACGTGATTGAGCAATACTCCCAGGGTCACCTCAACCTCATGGTGCGCATCAAGGAGCTGCAGAGAAGGTAAACTGCTTAATTAAGAAGAGCTTCATATGAATTACCTCCCCTGAGCAATACATAGACAAATGGTGGATGATGTTGAAAAATAAATCAGGAAAGCAGAAGAGTCGGGAAATGAGAAAGGATATGTTCTTCTGACTTGAGCCTCCCATTGTTTCTCTCAGACTGGACCAGTCTATAGGGAAAATAACTTTGTTCCAGTCAGGCTCAGGTAATGAATCACTCCACTGCTCTCTCAAAATATAGTAAAGAAACTATGGATACAAATCACAGTCCTAATCCTCCTGTTTTATAATTTACTTGACTATTGTATCCCACTGAAGACCGAGCCAAAGACAAAGGCACCAACTCTATCGGATCCAGACTCAACAGGATGGAGAACAAGGTGGGATTTGTGCAAATTCTGTGAAAAACTGAAACAAAAGTCTTTTGCTTTTCACCATTTCAGATACTTTCTTTTTTTTGGAAAAGTGCAAAGTCAAAAATGTACATGACCATATTTGTCTTCTTTTCACAATATGAAAATGTAACAAATAAGCTTTCATCAGGTGCAATACAGTAGCAGTTGCACCTATCAAAATAAACTCAAATTGAGAATAGTTTTGCATAATTAAAAGTTTAACTGGCTTTGCTTACTGTAAAGTATTATGAAATAGCTTGTGCCAGTTCTGCAGCAAAAAAAGAAACAATGAGTTTGTTTTTGCTTCATTTCTGTGGTGTTTCAAAACAAAAATCAAAAATGTTCAATCACAACCTCTCCCAACTCAATTCCAAGTGTGCCTTACATTCCTGTCTTGCAACCATGGATAAAATGATCAAACAAAATTAATTTCTTGTCGGGAAATTAATTTTCTTGAATAATAAGGTGATTGACGTAGACATTTACTTGTTATTAAATGAATAACAAAACTTAAATGCTGTGAATGTGTCAGTTACAGGGCTTGTAATTTTCACCAGTAAAGCTCTGTTGTATTTTTTGAAGTTGAAATGATACCTGTTATTTACAGAATTTCTATTCTTGAAATGTAATTTTGTTTGATTATATACCTTACCTAAAATACAGCAGCAGAAATTATTTGGCAAAGCGTTGAAGGTTAATACTATAAAACTTTTATCACACACAGGGTAATTTAATTACACAAAAGACATAATAGTAACATTTGGACTCTTAAAAGTACTTTTAATTTGAAGGAGTAAAAATCATCATTAATCCAAATCTGAGGTTGCATGTTATTTTACTTTGATTTATCAATATTTGATTCAACTCTCACAGATAACACACATGGACCAGACGTTAAACCGCATCGCAGAGTCCCTCGCCTTTCTGCTAGACCAGAGGGATGTTGATGGGGGCGAAGGTGAAGGCAGGCAGAGGCCACGGCTTGGACGGACCTCTAATGTTCTCCCCAGCCAGGACAGCCTGCCAAGCTACGACCAGCTATCTTCATCACCTTCGTCCTTCTCCAACACCGCCAGCACTGCGGCTTGCCTCAACCATCCCCTGAGCACCACCGCCAGTCAGGATGAGAACTGCTGAAACCTTCAACCAAGTAGCCTCAGAGTCTGTCTGTCTGTCTGTCTGTCTGTTAACAGATCCATGTCAAGTGAAAGTTAACTGGCTGATGAGAAGGTCACGGCTAGCCTTAGCTAAAGCGAAAACAATATTTACTTTTTCCCTAGGTCTTTTCTGTAAATGTATACTCTTGAGACAGACAAGTTAGGTAAAAACTTGTGGTCAAAAGCAAAAATTAGGCATATAACAGACAGAGAGACAAGAGAGGCAAAGGTCAGACTAACATCTTCGCTGATCCAATCATGATGGAGAAAAACTCCATAGCTAAACTCCTTCTACAGCTATCGTAACAAGCTTAGATTTAAAAGAAACTGTTGTTTCAGCTTCTGATTCTATAGGAATTCATGCGACTTGGTTTGGTAAATATGGGCAGACAGACAAAAGATTTCCTATAAGTTATGGACATTACACATTTAAAATAAAGTATGTTTAAACAAACTGTTTGCCTGAAAAACTGTAACCCTTTTTTCTCAACTTTACTGCTTTGCTGAATGTTGGCATCATTATGTGAAATATCTCATAAGAGGATGTGGGACATATGTGAAAATCGAATTACTGACATTTCAACACAGATATTTTAGCATATTGTATGAGCATTAGTTTCATAATCTTGAAGGGCAAAGTCACTTTGAAATTATTTCCCTATAGATATTACTTGAAATGTATTCATGTTTACAACGGCATATTAGGGCCATTGTATAGATTTTTATTTCCTGAGTCGTGGAAGAGGGGTAATATTCCGAGAAAAAAAATAAATTCATACATATTTGAGAAAAAAACACATTTATGAGAAAAAAACTTGTCTAATGTGCTTGTGTTATTAAATGATCTGTAGCATACTCTTTTAAAAGCAGGGTATGCAGATGTTAATAACAACAGCCATAACTGCAAGGCAAACCAATAACCAATTAGTATTATGAGACTTTCTATATTTAAAGAAATATAAGAAAATATAATAAGACTTTTATAAATGACACATGCTTTCAAATGGATTTGTTGCAATCCCTTAAATCAGCCTGTCTGAAAGCTTCACCTTTTCTCAAATGTCTGCAATAACTCTTGTCTTGTATTTTTTTCTTCGAAATGTACCACTTTAATCTCAGAGAATATCTGAGTTTTTTCTCAAAATGTTACCCCCATCCCCGGCTCCGTCACTTGTTTTTCTTTAATAGTGGCCCTAATATGCGGTACAGGTTAATGCCAAAGACATTGCATCATATACTCTGATTCAATAATCTATATTCTTTTGAAATTAAAGTCAATTTAATTGCATTCATCTTTTGGGAGAGGCCTAACATTTCTATAGTTCACTTGAAAACTTTCACTTCAATCAAATGCTGTTTTTTTTATTGTATTTCACTTTTGGTAAATCTATAGAAATATTCTTCGACAGCAATAAAATTGTGAAAATTATTATCGAGTCTCTGTGGGATATGATATTGGTAATTCAATTAGTTATTCCACATAACTAAAGGAGGCATTAACTAAATCCAGTTAAGATGGAGAAAAACACCTTAGTTAAATTTCTGCTAACGCTAATGTAACTAGCTTAGCAGATCTCAGTAGCTACCATCTTAGCTTTTACCTGTAGTGAAATGACACATGCATAATAGCAAAACTAAACAGATACAGACAGATATTCATTCAATTCTTGTAAATGATCAAAATTATAGAATTTATAAATATATACGTTGAAAACTCTACTGCTTTGGCTAATTACTCTTAAGGGACCGCCTTGTATTTCAATACTGAAAAAATTCAATTTAATGAAATGGTGTTTTACTGTTTTAATTTGATTTCACTATTTTGTAAATGTTTAGAAATATTCATTTGTTGCAATAAAATGTGGAAATTATTACCCAGTGTCATTGTGTTGTGTCTGGTGCCTTAAGGAAAATCCAACTGATCTCTGACCAAAACAAATGAGCTTTCAGTTTCAGTAAGATCTTTTCCTTTTGCCAGTGGCTCTTTGATAAGTTTGAAAAGTTGTCCTGTTTAATGTTCTTGCAGCGTTTCAGTGTTCTCCTCAGTCGCCCATCAAATGGAAGCTTCACTTTTGAGTTTTAGAAATTCAAGTTATTGTTTTCTTAATAGTCATGTACCACTCGTGTTGGCAGCAGAATTTCTTTTCTTGTTGTGAGGTTGGGGTGGCTATGTTCATTGTGTCCTCACTGACTTATGGAAATAGCCAAAAGCGCAGCTAAAACCATGCTCTTTAACCAGGTCACCTTTGGGCAGCAGATGGTGACCTTTTCCCCTCTGGCCATCCATAGGGTGTCCAGGCATTCCTTCACAAGTGGCCATGTGGAGAAAAGGCCCAAATGACCATCTGCCTCTGGTGTCTACGACAATGGGCCCCACCCTTCTAAAGTGTGCTGATGGTGGTTGGCCTTTGTGTTGACCAGGAGGTGGGTGAGGGGAGAGTTTCATTACAGAGAGGGTGTGGAGATTTTAAATACCCCCCCAGTCCCCATTATTAGTATTATTTGGGGTATTGGGAAATGGAATGTGTAACAAATATAAAATTAAAACAAATATTTGCATTTAAGGCTACAATTTACTGAGATGCTTTTTGCTGAATCATCATGCTTGAATGTACAAAGCTAAATATATATATAGATAGATAGATAGATAGATAGATAGATTCTTAATACATAGAGTACATAGATTTAACTTCTCCTAACTTATACATTTCTGAATCTACACACACTCCTAGATGGTTATATTATCAATTTAAGACTAACTTATTTATGTCTTTCCTGTAGTTTTCTCATTTAGCCTCTTCTAATTTGGACAACTGCATCAAAACCTGATCAGAAGAAGCCATAACATACTATAATGTTAATTGACAAAATCTCTACATCAGATAGTGAAAGCTTCATTCACTGATGATGTACTGAGCAGCTTGTAGTACATCTTTAAGGGAATTTAATTAAGGTTGTGGGAGGGGAAAGTGGGAACACATGGGACCCTTTGGGCCCATGGGATAGTTTGATTATTGATTTATTGACTAGAAATCTGGACATAAATCTAGTAGAACAGAGTATAAGATCATCTGTTCCTAATGGAGAAATAACACACTTAATATTGGTTGTCCTTGGTATTGAGCCATTTAAAAATGTAAATGTGATGTTTGCTTTTTCTTTTATGCTTGAACACAGTCCTCTTGCTCCCATAGCATACAAGTAAACACAAGCCAAAGTGAGAATAAACATTAATAGGATTGTCTTGGGCACATGTCAACTGCTTTGACTATGAAAAGGGACAGAGTGAAAAGAGAAAAGTTGAGGAAAGACCTGGGGGGTCGAGGAGCTCCAAAGGCTGATTTGCAGGTGAAATAGATGGCACACTCTGCTATGTGGCCATTGTCCTGCTCCACGTCCAGATGGCCTTTTGAAATTCTTTAGAGCTGAAACCTCAACACTGTGGGGGTGAATACGCTTCCTGTGGGATTTGGCCTCTCTAATGGTCCAATTTGGCCATCATATTAACAGATATAATTTTGAGCCTGACAGTACAGTCCTTACTTATTATAAAACATCTCATAATACAACCCAGAAAATGGAATTACTCTAAAACATTTTTATTTTTTCGATTGCCAACTTGAATTGATTTTTTGATAACTTCTATGTCTGCAGTCATATTGAAAATCCAATCATTTTAAATTCTGTTCATAAATGGCTGCAATTATAGAACTCCATGGTCAGGTTTTTTTTTTATGACAATAAGTTATCACGGAATATTTTAGATAAAGTGTTACTCTTCTGATAATGACAGTCTTTTTGTACTTTTAATTGACTAAAACAGTTTAGGAAAACGTTGCAGTTTTCACATATAAAGGCAGAGTGGACACAGTGTTTGACAGAGTGGGATTAGAAAGTTGTGTTCAGCGTAAGGACTTCTTCAAAATATCTTTCCTTCAAGCAAAATGTCACAATGCAAAAGAGACATGTTGTTGCATAAACATATTATTTTGTATATTATACATGTATGTGCTACAGGGCCAAGTTTATTTGGAAGCTTTAGACAAGAAGTCCTGGTATATAGATTTGTTGGAGAGGCATTTCTTGGAGAACTGAGAACACATTTTACTTAAGATGGGGGACATAATTAAGATGCTATGAATGTTCTACAGGACTAAATAAACCAGTTTGATGTGATGGATGCAAAATCATTTAATTAGCATCTATGAACAAATTCATTGGGATATGGATAAATGTGTTTTTGTCTAAGAAGCTTTTCATTGTGTTATTTGTGAAAGGGAACAGTTCCCAAGTGAACAGCAGAAAATGTAATAATTACTGAATCAGAAGTACAATTAGTGTCACTTTATTAAAATTGCAATATTTACATTTACATTAGGCATTTACAATCTGCATCTCAGTTAATTTAGGCAAACACGACAATGACAAAATAGTGCTTTTACAGAATAGAAGCAGCTCATATAACAAAAATCCACATACAAGATTGACAAAGTGATCAAACATACATTAAAAAAAATCCTTTCAGTCCTTTAAACATAATATTCAGTAATACTGATGGAAATGATAAAAACATCTCTAAGCAAACATATTTGTGATATTATCAATGAAAAAAAAATTAAATAAATTAAATATATTAAATAACACAAATGGATTAATTCCACTCCAGCTCACAAACACTAAAATTGGCAATAAAATAAAATAAAATAAAATAATTTGGGGCAGTGAAAAGGCCTTGGTCAGGGCCCATAAAAATGTATCTAGAAATATAAATAGTCCATTTTCAGTCGCATGTTCATCTTATTGTTTTGCACAGAGCTGCTTCACTGGGACTTGTTTGGAAAGGATTCAGGGTGCTCTTGGTTTCAGTAGTCCTCCTTCTCTTTGCGAAAAAATCTGAGAAGAAAAATAAGAAGAAAGAAGATGTTAACACACTTGTCATTATACTTTAATAGACGTGGGTTACAGGATGAACAAAGGAATTCATCCAAAAGACTTGTTCCCTACCTGTAATTTGTGCATTGTTTCTGGGCTTGGTTGACGGTTTTGAGAGCATCCTCTTCCTTCGGACGGGCGTCACTTCAGCTGGACACTTGTGTTTGTTGGAGATGCTGGAGCAGTTCTCCTGGTCGGTCCCTGCGCTTTCTTCAGGGTAACTGAGACTGACATCACCCTCAGTGTTTGAAGAACAGACAGCGTCCTTCAGCTGTGCCGACTCCTGATAGAGAGCAGCCGCGCAGTCTGCGGGTACTTCCTCCCACTGAAACCTGCCTGCCAGCGGCGTTTCAGTCTGGAAGTTAAAGTTCCAGCGACGGCTGTCCTGCTCAGCGATCTCCTTCAGCCTCTGCGTCAAGTCGCGGCGCAGCTGGTCGTGGTCCACCGGGCCAAAAAGACTCCTGCAAACCGACTCTCTGCGCCTGATGGGATTCATCCTTCAAGTAGTTCTGGTGAAGTTTTGGTGGGAAACGTCTTCCTGTTGTTTAAGATGGAGCTGTTGTTGCTGTCTAACCCTGGTCTGCTCTGGTCAGGACAATGCCGCAGGGCGATTTAAAGGCTGCAGGGCGCACGATGTTCTGTTTGTACACAATGAGCAGAGGCTGCTGATTGGCTGCAGCTCTCTGAATTAGAGGATAAGGGGAGGGGGCGAAATTCATCTATTGTGTGATGACAGACTGCAGACCACTGAGACCATCAATAATGTCTCAGGTTCCATTAGGGATGCTTTATGTAATACTGTGATGAACACAATCCTATAAAGTCATGATCAATTTTTAATTAATCACAATAATAAGGATCATTTGCAAACTGTTGGCAAGAGCTAAAAAAAACCCCAAAACTTCAGTGTTGCAGTCTTTATACTCTGTTTCCCAATGAAAGTGCACCAAAATGCAGCAGTGCAGTTTAGCCTCCATGTAACAGTGATTAGTGGCCACTACAGGGATTTCTGCCTATAAAGGCCAAAGTCTTCTTGCCAAAAGTAGATTGAAAGTAGGTTTGTGGTCCAAAACGAAAAGTAGTTCAAATCAGGAGATGGGATTTGGCTCAAGTTACACATAGGTCAAGACTACAGTAATTAAAATAGCTGTCTTTGCTTTGATTGCTTTTTTATCCAATGAAAGAAGAGTTTCCCCCACAGGTTAGAGTTGTAGAAAGGTTGTATTTTTTAAATTTGCTGTAGAAATGCAAATAAATGTTGCTACCATAAATTAAACATGTATCAAATGTGATTTCTATAAATAAACTGTTCTGTAAACTTCTGCTGAGAAAATTGTTAAAAGCCCTGTCCTCACTTACAGAGTGAAACACATTCATTGTTCCCAGAAAAACCACAGTCTGGCTACCATTGTGAATATATGGTTGGCATATTGAGCCACAACCCTGATCAGCTGATGCTTCTCTTTGTGTTCTCTCTGATATTATGACGGCTGAGTAAAGAATGGAAGCATAACACTTACAAAGAGCCACTTAAACCAACACGGTATGATGGAGCACAAAACAGATCTGAAATTCATTTGACAATAATTTTGATATTGAAGATATTGCATATTTGTCTCCAACTCATATTAGATATTGTAATGGTGTCACATTAACAGAGTGATAATCAATGCTGAAGCTAATAGTAAAAATTGCACTACATAGCTGTACAAGAACATGCCAAAATAGAAAACAAACACAAATGTCTCCACTTTAACAGTAAAGTATTTGAAATACAAATGTTTCATTCAGGGTTTCTGTGGCTCAGGGTAGAGAGGTCATCTATTTATCAGAAGGTCAATGGTTCGATCCCAGTCTGCATGTCGAAGTGTCCCTTGGGTGTGTATGAATGTGTATTTCTGTTTCTGAAGGCGGCCTGCGCTGCGTGTGATGTAGTGTAAAAGCGCTTTGAGTGGTTGGAAAGACTAGAAAGCTGCTATACCAGTACAGGTCATTTACCATTAGGCAGCAGCAGTGAGAGTGGTCCTGATGAGATGTGCTTCAGCTGACCAACATGCAAAGTAATGGTGCATAGCAGTGTCTGGGATTGGCCGAAGGGAGAGCCCCACCCATGCACCACTTCCTGATGGCCCAGGTAGTTCACCTAAGGGCAATGAAAGAAAACTCTTCAGCCCTTACAGGTGTGGTTCAATAGGAGGAGGAGAGGAACATTCATTTCAGCCATGCAGGAGAGACAAGACACACCTCTGGTGAGTATGTGCAGTGTAGCATCTGTCATTTCTTTCTGTTTATCACTGTGGGGATGTCTAAATTTGGCCAAGAGTTAAAATGTATTGTACATGATGACCAACGTTTTCACATAAAGCAGTGTGTCTGTTAATAATACACAGGGTCACGTCTACGTTGTATGTCAGGGGTGATAAAGTGATATGGGGAAATCATCCTATGATTACTGTGTTGTATAATGGAGACCTGTATGATTTCATATCTGAAGAACAATAGTTAGACTTGATTAGGAAGCAGAAGTTGTGGGGGGGTTTTCTTCTTGCCATAAAAAAACCTAAAGAGATGTATTTATGTACCTACAGTATTTCGTCACAAGTATTAAAAATGTAGAAAAGTATTCCATCCATTTCTCCCCTAACCCAATTAAGCAGTATTACCCAATTGCATATTTATATTGGTAACCAACATGTTTTATGTACAAGATTACCTCTCTTACGGTAAAGTGAAAGGTTGTTTTTCTCCCCCATGATAAAATAATCAGGGACCTGTGAGGCAATTTTGCTGAAATTATAAACCTCCCTTTCTACAATATTGTTTTCTTATTATGTGCTTTCATAGGAGGCCTTAAGATTTTCAATTGTTGTAAAATGTTGAGATTTAAAAACAAATACTGATTTTAAAACATCACATTTTTTTACAAGAAAACATCTTTAAAATGTAATGTGGGTTTCTACATGTATTTAAAGGGGGTTGCTTGGTCCTACATCCTTAGATATAGTCATATTCTGTAGCTGTCTGTTAATGTACACAAATAGATTTAGACATCCCAGATCGTCATCATTCAAGCAAGATGTAAAGTGTGTGGGCAATGTAAAGGTGTCTGTGTCCATGAACCACACACACACACACACACACACACACACACACACACACACACAGCTGGACATCTTTTACTTTACCTTTGCTTGCAAATCATCTTGTTTGCATGTCCAATAGTCTTTTCCCTCCCAGACCTAGATCTGTAGTCAAATAAAGCCTTCCACAACAAGCTGCTCACTTACATTAAAACAGATGGCTTAACACAAATTGACTCTCAGTCTGTGTGTTAACCATTGCACCACAATTCTATTAAAACACTTTTCTTGACAAAAGATACCCAGGGTGCTACCTCAATGCATTTGGGCTGCATATTTGTTATAATCATCTTTCACAAGCAGCTTAAGTGTCCATGCAAATAAAGCTGGCCAATAAAAGTCTGTGTTTACTCAAGCAAATGGATAATCTTATCAATAATGAATGAGTTTCCTTTCTGAACTTTGTGTCATTTATTTTTATAAAAGGAATCATTCAGAGATGAACAGATTGTGATTGCTCTCACTGTAGAACAATAACTACGTACAAACCAAGTCATAATGTTGAAAGCGCATTCCAGACTGTATAGGGTTAGAGAGATACAATATATATATTTTAAATTGACATAATATCAGTTCTGGTGGGAGCCCACAGTATTGTGACCCAGTTTTCTTAGTTTAATGTCTATGAATGACAGTGTTTTGTGTATTTCTAGTTCAAACATCAGGCACGAAGCACTTTGCATAAGAAGCGAGGATGAAAATTCTTCCAACTTTGCATTGACCACAAGTGCTAAGAATCTTCCCATGTGCGAAAAGGGTGGTGAGTGTGTCATAATGGATTTAGAGGAAAATGAACCTTATATCCGCATATTTATTTGTTTACAGGGGACACTGCAGCCACAGACACGATGTCTGCGTTGTGGGGACGTACTGGAGTGGTCAGAGGAGCACAGGTGTGTGTGACAAAGACAACATGAACTGATAGGCCTATTCCATCCACATGAAGTGATGTAAACAGACCATTCATGAAAACTGGCAGGAACTCTTATCTGAAACAAATGACAGTCTGAGTCAGTATTCGTGATAAAGAAATCTCCATCAGAACAGCTGAAAAAAGATATTTGCTAAGCAATAATAATATTAATAATAATAATCTTTATTTATAGAGCCCTTTTCAAAAAACAGGTTACAAAGTTCTTTAACAAGTGCAAAACAAATACATGATAAAAGCAAGAAAACACTTAAGAAACTAAAATACATGTTAAAAGTAAAGACAAAAATATATATAATAAAATTAAATTAAATCAACTAAAATTAGGAAAGGCTCCCCTAAAAAAGCCTGTTTTAAGAAGGGACTTAAAAGAGTTATTCACTCAGCCAAACTGATTTCCTTGGGAAGCCTCTGCTGCATATGGTATGTGCATATGGGACTAAATGGTCAGGGTGAGAGGACATGAAGAGCTTTAAAAGTAATCAATAAAATTTTGATGTCTTTTCTAAAACATACTGTAACATACATACTGTGTAATGAAGCTAAAACAGGGGTGATGTGATCATGTTTCTTTGTTCAGGTCAAAAGCCTGGCAGCTGAGTTCTGTACAGTCTGGAGTTGATTAATAGATTTTTGGGTCAAGCAAGTGAAAAGGCTGTTGCTATAATCTAGACATGATGAGATGAAGGTGTGCAAAATGGCCTCAGTGTCCTTAAAAGTTAACGTATCGTATTTTTGATATATTTCTAAGGCTTTGTGGTTTGTGGCTTTGTGGCTATGTGGTGTGCTGCTCGATTTATTACTGTCATACAAGACACCAAGATTTTTAGCAACAGGTTTGATGTGATTCACTAGGGAAAAGCAGATGGCAGTATTTGCTTTGCCATTTGCGGTGACCCAATGACCAGGATCTCTGTTTTGTCTGAGTTCTGCTGGATGAAATTATTTGTCATTAGATTTTTGACATCACAGAAGCAGTCGGTAAGCAAACTCAGCATTCCAGGGTCTGTGGTTCTGACGGGCATGTAAATCTGTGTGTCATCAGGATAAACAGAAAAGAGACACCATGTTTCTCATGTGTCCAAGGGGAAGCATATAAGGAAAATAAAATGGGTCCTAAGATCGAACCCTGAGGCACACCAAAATTAAACCGAACAGAATGAAGAGACATGGTTATTCACACAGACACAGAACCTCCTATTTGACACGTACAATGAAAAGGCAGTATCAGAGATCCCCACACAGTGCCTCAGTCTATCTAACATGATGTTGTGATCAGTGGTGTCAATTGCAGTGCTAAGGTCCAGGAGTTCTAGAACTAAGCACATGCCATCATTCGCAGACATTAAAAGGTCATTGGTGATTCAGTCTCAGTGCTGTGGTACTTTTGGAAACCAGACTGAAACTTTTTAAATATGTTGCTGTTCCAGTACAGAGAGTAGTTGTTTGGACACTACTTTTTCTAAAAGACACTCTCATTTGTGATACTAAAACCTTAAACAAGTCAATGGGATAAAAAATAGTTAAAACTATCTTTTTGCCAGTGAGGGACCTCTGAGTAAGAGGTAGAGGGGGTAATAAAGTCTCTGATTAACACCACTTTTTCAGTAAAATAAGAATAATAAGAACAATTCACAATCATCAGCACTTTCAGCTGAGGCACAAGGGGGGCTGGATTTATCAGCTGATCCACAGTCTTAAATAAAAATCTAGGATTATGTTGATGTCTAACCTTAGAGGTGCAATAATATTTAATGAGGACAAGAAAATCTGATTGAAATGGTCAGCCAGATCATTGGTGTGGGTATCATACAGGTGTTGGCTTTGGTTCTGAAACAATGTGCAAAACTATAAAAACGCTTTGTTCATTAAGGATGCAAAGCAATCAGATTGTCAGGTGATTAGCAGGCCATAAGTGGAAGAGGTGCTACTGGAAGCAAACATTTATACTAACAAGACTAAGCTAATTCCAAGTATAGTTTTGTATTTAGGGGGTGGTGATGGCACATACATAAAATGCTTGCCTTCGGTGT